AATAATTGCCCTTTATTGGTTGCGTAGCATCTTCATTATCTCATTTATTTCCAAGTACAAACCCACATGTTAGGGACAATTACTATGACCCTTTACAACTGAGAGAACTAGGACTTCGTTGAGATTTGCTCAAAGTCACACAGCTAATTAGTCACAGATCTTGGGTTCAGACCTACACCTGTGTCTTCAAAGCTTGTTCTTGACTCCACTGTGCAACTGGAAATATTTCTTCTATAGGTGTGATGATAGCTACAACTTTACAACTTGATTGTTGTTGTTGTGAAGTGCCATCGAGTCAGTTCCGACCCATAGTGACCCTGTATAGGGTTTCCAAGGAGCAGCTGGTGAGTTTGAACCGCCAACCTTTCAGTTCAAACGGCTTTGCAGTCTGGCGCATTAACCCACAGCGCCACACCAGGACTCCTACAACTTGATAGGTGCACCTTATTAGGTGCTCCTTGACAACTTTAGCAAGATGGTACTATCTATGTTAATTTTTGAATCTTCACACAATTTCTAACAATACCAGAAATAAGCCTAGCTCTTTGATCTAAAATATAATCAAGTTAATCATTATCTTTTCCAACTGCTAACACATAATAAATGCTCATTTTCGTTGACAGCTGTTTTGATTCTAATAAAATGAGGTCATCATAGATGTTTTTATGGACTTTCTGCTTTATACATTAGAACTTCGAGGGTCTAAAACAAGGTGCTCCCACCTGGGAAGTTTTCTGATATGTGACAGAGAATGGCAACAGCTTTGAAAATGGGACCGAGAGAGGTAATATTGGAAAGAGAAATTTGTGTTCCGACCCTTCTTGGGAAAGGAGGAAATTAAGAGTCCAAAACCCTAGTTCTCACTCACTGATTCTTTGAGACTAGAGGCAGGATCCTTATCTTGACTGTGCTGGCCATGAAGTGTGGACAAGAACTCACAGCCACCTCGAAGTCAGGGAGTGAAGTGGAAGGAAGTGGACAGAGGATTGGTGCAGTGGTCAGCCCTCCTGGAGATCTAGGAGCCTGACATCTGTCTTCAGTGTCTAAGCTTCTACAACAGAAATGCCACATGTGACTGGCTTTCACAAACAGAGAAGTATTCCCTCACAGTTTCGGAGGGTGGGAGTCCTAAATCGGAGCATTGGTTCCAGGCAGGGAAGGCGTTGTCTCTCTGTTCAGACTCTGGAACAAGATCCTCAGCTTTTCTGAGCTTCTGGCCTTGGGCAGGCTCCATGTAGCTTGGCAGCTCTCTTCCCCCATTTTTTCTTCTTTCGTTTGCTTGTTAAATCTTTTATATCATAAAAGAGATTGAATTGATGAACATTGGAGTCTTGACTGCAAGGTTGGAAGTTCAAAGCCACCATCTGCTCCTCTGGAGAAAGATGAGATTTTCTGTTACTGTAAAGATTTACAGCCTTGAAAACCCTATATAGGGTTGCTCTGAGTCAGAATCAACTTGATGGCAGTGGCTGGGTATATTAATCCTGTTTCATTAGCAAAACAAAGACAGCCCATTCCCAGATGGAATTATAAACACAGGAGAGTTTACATGTCATAAATGGGAGGGGACACAATTCAATCCACAACAGTGCCTACAACCTCAGTTGTCCAAATGGCATGAGAGCAAGTGTAATGACCATGAATGGGCAGCAATCATTTGAGATGGTTTAAAGATCATCCCAAACAACAACCACTGAGTTCTGGATCAATTTCTTATGCTATGTTGCAAACCATAAGGTTGACAGTTCAAACCCACCAGCTGTTCCTCAGAAACCCTTTACAGTTCTGCTGTGAGTCAGAAGTGACTCGATAGCACTTACCAACAACATGTAGCCTTGCTAAAGAAGTGTAGACTACAGGCACTAGGTGGTACCCAGAATAACACAGTTACAGGTGAAGTTTAGCTCTTCCCATCCCAGCTTCCTCTTGCTCAGTTGATGCCGTGGACACTGGTGGAGTGGGAATGACAGCGTCCTTCTCAAATCCCTCACTTCCTCTCTCCTCTCCAAAAAGAACTGGCCCAGTTAGAATCCTGATCCAATGATGCTAAAGGCGTCTTGGTTATTCTCTGTGGGAAATGTGCTGATGGAAGACCGTGTTCCCAGGAGGGTTTGTTTTCAGTCCAGAATCCTCTCTCTCATGATCTCTCATCCAGGCTGCCCTGACTGAGAGCACTTCCCATTAGGTGTTTATGGGCTGTCGGACACCCCCCAGCTGTGGGATGCACGCTGACTTATACATGCATTGCTGTTGTTGTTGTCTGCCCTAGTTGCCTGTCTCTGCCCTCTTCCTGCATGTCCTAAAGCCTGGTCCAGGGGAGACTAGGGCCTGGCCCTCAGCAATGTGTCCCACTTAGTATGCTACTGCTGACCATCTGGACAGTATGGAGCGTTGTAGTCACTATCTCATTATCTAGCTGTTATCATTGCTCCAGATGATATTCTAGCAGGCTGGGTTCCTTCTCTGTCATTTTCTGCCTCTGACCAAGTAGCTGGCCTGGTTCCCTTCACTTGGGCAGATATCCTTCCCCCCACCTCCTACCTCACTATGCTTTGTGAGTTGCCAAGTCACCTGTTGTGAATCTCCTTTTTGCTACTTTTATGAATTCTCTTCTACCAGCTTTAATCACATTTTTGTGTGTTCCATTCAAATCTTGTCCCTCTGTCCCATTAGCCATCCAAAGAAACAGCTAAGGACCACTCTGACATCACCACATTGGTAAGAATGTGGAAAATTTGTCAGACACAAGCAGCTTTTATTCCAACTAAGTATACATAAAGTGATATAAAGTGATCATTAAATCATACAATTGTATTTATTTATTGTACTCCACTCTACAGGACATGAAGGAAAAAAAATATCTGCCACAAACAGATGTTTGACTGTTTTGGATTGATATATGAAATAGATGTATTGCAGACAGAGAGGTTTCCAGCAAAAAAGACAGGGCCATGAAAATGCAGCAAGGTATCTTTACTGTGTAGACTATGGTTTCTTTGCAAACACAGAACTGCCTACATTCTATTTCCTGTGCAAATGATAGGAAATGTCAGCTGTATTTTATTGCTTTTCCTCAGAAAAGGAGTAGGGGTTACAAAAAAAATTAAGTGGCTTATATAGTTCACCAATTTCACTGCAAAATTATATACACATACAACACTCTCATTCTGTATGAAGACCTATGTATACCACTATGCACATGTGTCTAATACAGAGGAAAGTATAAGAATTATAATTAGAGGATTGATATGTGTTAAGTTAGGTAAAGGGAATTACAATAAAAGTAAATATTTTTTTTAAAAAAAGAAAGAAAAGTAAGCCAATAGTGGCTTTGTAAATAATAATAATTCCAAACTTGTATAATGTCATAAATAGACTACTGTTCATAAAATACCAGAAAAAAAGACATCTTTCACTGATGGAAATTCCCAGAAGTCAGCAAAACAAATCTTATTATTGATACAAACTCCAATCTCATATTAAAATACCTGCATTCTGTGTAATTTATCAAACAAAATCTATAATAAGCTCATTTCTGCAGAAACAAAGAAGAGGTGATATTTTCTCTCTAAAGCATCTTTTTATATCAGTGCTTTAAAATAACTTCAGGCAAATTTCTAGGCAAGTGGAAAAGAATATGTTTGGATAGATATAGAAGATGGTTGTTTTGTGCCATGAAGTCCATTCCAACTCACAGCGACCCTGCATAGGGTTTCTGAGACTGTAAATCATTACAGGAGCAAAAAGCCTCATCTTTCTCCCATGGAATGGCTGGTAGTTTCTAACTGCTGACCTTGAGGCTAGCAGACCAACTCTTAACTACTACTCTGCCAGAGTTCCTGATAGAATTGATAGATAGATTGATAAAGTATAATATAAACATAGATATACAAATATTTATTATTGTGTTTTAAGTTCAATCCTTCCTCTTGCACACAAAACCCATCATTTCTTAGCAGGTCCTTATGTGGATCCCAGCCACCATCCAAGTGACTAGGCTATGGGAGCATTCTGCAAAGTCACGGGAATATTTTTTTAGTCTAGTTCATTTCTTGATGTATATTGGGAGAGTTGTTATAACCAGGAAAAATATTTTTAACCTGCTCACAGTATGGCTTAAGACAATCAGAACATTTCAGATGAAGAAGAATAAAAATTCCTATTTCAGAACTGATGGAAGGAAACAGGTGCACCCTCATTTCCTTCCTCTCCGCCCACCCCAGCTGCGTGTCCCACCCACTTGTTCACAGCAGTTTGTGTTCTCCGGTGGTTGCCTTCGCAGCCTGAATCTTTGGGTCATCTGCACACAGAGGCGAGGCTGCTGCCTCACCCCCAGCCCCAGCAACAGAAGATGATGTCTTGATCAGGGAGTTGGCAGCTGCATTTTTCTCCTGTCTGAGTCAGGGGCTTGTCCCTAGATTATACTTCCTCCCTCTTCCCCACAGACCACTCTGCACCTTCGGCAGTTCTTCCTAGCACCTGCACACGTGGCCTTCAGTGTTGTCTGTCTAAACTATCAGATAAGACATGAAAGGAAAGGTGAGGAGCTGGTTGTTCACTTTAAGGTTTCCCAGGTAGCCCTCCTTTAACTCTAGAAAGCAATTCTATTGGAGAAGAGCCTCAATGGACCTGAACATCGTCCTTGTTCAGTCCCTTTCTCTTGGAGTGTCACCTCTCTTAACATTACAGGACTGGGCTAGCCCTGCTGTGAAGCTATCTTTGCCAAGTATTCTGTTTTGTCAGATGTTAAAATAACTGTGTCTTCTTCTGTAATGCAGGGCACATCCTATCCCCAGTAGAATAATATATTTTAAGTAATTTCTGAAAATGGGCCGTGAAAGCTGTCTACCACATGGCTCATGTTTGCACATCTCTATATAGTTAGGATTGCAGAATTTGACAGTGTAACTCTGAATCTGATTAATTAAGAATGTGTAAAAACAAAGTTCTTGCATTACAGCTCGTTCCTTATCTTTGTGTCTTTTACTGTGATGTTGTAGAACTTGGATCATATGGAAAACTAAAATATTATGACACAATGACTGAAGAAGGTAAGCATGATTTTAGAATTGTATGCATTCGCTTTTTTTTTTTTTATTTACCGTGTCTATTGCTTTTTTTTTTTTAAGCTCTTTTCTTTTTGCATGACTTCAGTGACATTGTGTAGTTTATGATTCTTTCTGCATCTTTGTCTAGTTTTTGCCATCGTGTTTCTTTGGAATTGGAGGCCTGCAATACCATGGGTAGTTATGTTGTTCCATCCAAACAATCCAAACCATCTTGACTGTGTAGCACTCAGAGCAACAGTGTCAGTGGCGTAGACAGAGCCCCCAGCCCACTGTGTCAGCACAACTCCCCCACACGTTCACAATAACATATAGACACGTTTCCAACACACTTCCAGTTCAGGGAGGCAGAGGATGTATGTTCTGGAGATTTTCTGATCTATGCAGAGGAAGGGGTCATTCTAATGGAACTGTGAACTGAACACCCCAAACCAGCTAGATCCCTGGTTCTGGTGCAGATGGCTGAAGGTTCATGACTTCAATTCCCACAGTCCCTGTTGACAGAGACAAGAGTGAGCATTACTCTGGGTTGTCCAGGCACTGGGATTGCTCTTCAGTCTTTTTTCTTTTATTTGTCAGGTTCCTAGTCTATGAGATTGGGAATATCATTTTAATAATCATTTTCCTTGAGGAAATGAAGCATTGCAGAGATTTCATTTTGAACGTAGTATATTCTCTTATAAGGAGTCCCTGGATGGTCCAAATGGCCAACACACTCAACTGCTAACCATGAGGTGTGAGTCCACCTAGAGGTGACTTGGAAGGAAGACCTAGAGATCTACTTCCAAAAGATGGACCATTTAAAAGCCCTATGGGTCACAGTTCTACTCAGACACACATGGGGTTTCCATCAGTAACAGTTGACTCCAGGACAACTGGTAAACGTTCTCTAAACTCCTCAAGAATGCTTAATTAACAAGCAGCAAAAACCAAACCAGCCTGGCTTGACCTCAGTTCTGTTCCTGCACATATCTGTGGAGATTGTGATCACACCACTAGTACGGATTTATGTGTGCTCACAAATCAATTTTAGTGAGTATCTGATTTTGCAGCTATGGAATCCATGAATCAGATGACCAACTGTACTTACTAATGGAGCCCCAGCTCTATCCCAGAAGACAGCCTTGCCCCAGTCAGAATGCTCTGGGTTAGGGTCAGGAACCACTTTCTGCATCAAGTTCACAATGAAACAGCAACTTGAAAATGTTGAATTCTTGTAAAGGGAGTTGTCCTATTGCCCTGTACCCCAATGACACCCTGCATATACCTTCACCATTTGAATCATAGATAATATATGTAAAGTATGAAAACAGTTTTGTGGTTTGATACTGGCAAGAAACGAAACAGTATCTCCCTAGGGGAATCATCTAATTGCATCCTTCTCCATAAGAGAAACTCCCAAGTGTGTTGCATATCTTGTTTCAGCTTCCAGTATTTCTAAGTTGCCTTAGCTTGCCAAAAGATCTCCTAGTTGCTTTGCATGCAAGTGGAACATCTCGCAGCTCTACGAGGAAGCCCCTCCTTATTATTTCTGGCCCTCCTCTGCTGCTCTCCCTGTGCTTTAAATTAACCACTGTGATGTGTTCTAAAGCAGCAAGACTCTATTGGGATCTCAGAACTGAGCCCTGTAGGCATCCAGGACCCTTCCAGCCACTTGGTGTAGGTCCTTGGGCATCAAGAGGTCCAAGTGCAAACTGCCACCTGCAGGAGAGCATCCTACCATGAAGGGGGAAGAAAAGGCAAGCCATGGCTTAAAGGAAGACTTGGTCCCAGTGATCATTTTTACCCCAAATCTTTGGACTACTTCTATTTTTGTTGTTGACTGGCATGAAAAGCTGAAGACTTGGAACTCACTGATATGAGAGCCCCCAGCCTCGTCTTCATGTCCCCTATCTGTCCTGTTACCACCCTTTGCTTTCTCTCTTTGGTCTTTGCAGTCCTTTGCCTTCCTGTTGCTATTGCAGCTTCTGCCTCCCTGTTCCCTCAGTTCCCATTTCCACTGTACTCTGTTCCTTTTTTGCCTCTTTCCACACCCATCTGAGCAAACATTGCCATCCAAGAGCACCCTTTCTTTTTCTTCCCCACATCAGACAATTCAAGATCACGGCAAAATGGAACCCGCTACCTCCAATCTGATGATATCATTTGGTAACCACTGGGTGTTCTAGGCAGGAAACAAAGTCAAAATGATGTCTGTAGTGAGAACCATGGTTGACCCATAGAAAGACTGTGAATTGTATGGTAGGGCCCCCATGGGTCGCCTTTCATAAGCCTTAGCCTTCTCTTGACTTTCTCGTCCCTTCTTGAAAATCCCATGTGTTCCATTCTTGGCTTAAAATGCATCCCCACCACAATGTTAGGCAATATTTTTAAAGTGCATTCTGGGAAATCCTAGTTTCCATATGATGTCAGTAGAAATGTTGTAACAACCTGGATGAGATTGATTTCGCAGTTAAATGAGTGCAGGGAACTAATGAGCTAAATTAAATAGGTTTCTTTACCAGAACCTTCAACTTGCTACCAGGCACTGTAGCATCTACTAGGGAATCATCAAGAGGGGCGGAGTCTGCAGTGTTTTCAGCTCCTTTGATCAGAGTACCCTTTATTGCGTGTGCTATTTTGGAAATGCTAATTAAGGTGCTAACCTTCACCTGGTAAACTATTAACACTCCTTCTGAACACACAACCATTTCTATCAGGTGCTTGTAGAAAGGACATTTGGAGCAAGTGTCTCTGTCTAGCCACCTCAAATCACACCCTCTGCCAATGGGTTCCATGACAAGCAAGGCCTGAGGTCAGCCTCATTCTGGGATCCCGTCTATTAGACTCAACACCAGCTAAGTAAAGTCAGATGTGACACCTGCCATGTGCACATTCCTCAAACTCTCAAGGGCCTTACCCCTTTCATTAAAGAATAAGAACAGCATTTTTTCCCCACAATTCTAGAAATGTTACTAGCTCTCGAATAGGGTTATATTGCAATTATGCATATGGGCTAGTCATTATAACTGTTTCCAAGGAATTCTCTGGATGGTGTGCGAGGTCAGCTGCTTTCAGTGAAGCCTATCCCCAACCCTCAAAGTGGATCAGATAGAAAAAGGGATTCTATGTACCACCCCTTTTCTTAAGAGGATTTTAGTGATGATTTAGAAACATTGAGAATTAGCCCCATGTACTCAGGTGATTACTTTTTAGCATCTACTCTGTACAAGTTATTCCGCTAGGTACTCGGGGAAACACAGGCTAAAGTAAGTGGACAGATTCCTCCCATGGGTTTTACAAACCAGGGGGAGGAGTAAAACTCAGCAACTACTGAGCCACCAAAAAGAAAATGGTAAGTATCATGGTGGTGGTGGCTATGTGCCGTGGAGTCGGTTCCGACTCATAGCGACCCTGTACAGGGTTTCCGAGGCTATAAATCTTTACGGGAGCAGAACTCCCTATCTTTCTCCTGCAGAACAGCTGGTAGTTTTGAACTGCTGACCTTGCGGTTTGCAGCCCGATTCATAACCACTACGCTACCAGGTGCTCAAAAAAGGATGACAGATTACAGAGGGAGATGGCTTTCAACTGGAGAGGCCATGGAAGATTGTGTGAAGGGAATCTTTGAACTGGGCCCTAAGGAGGTGGTAGATTATAGATAATGGAATCAATTGGGAATAGCAATGGCAAGGACCTGCAGGCAGAGGGGAGAGGAAGTACAGCAAGTTCTCCAAAACTGACTGGGTGCTGCATTATATTGTCTACATCTTTTCATCCTCATAATGATCATGCACAGAAGATATCATTGAAGTTGAGAAAACCAAGCCTCAAAGCAGTCTTTTACTGGATGAGGAAACTAAGGTTCACAGAGGTAAAGTAACAAGACTTGGGGCTCAGAGTTAGAAAGTGGTGATGGGAAACTGAGTCACCCCAGAGCCCCTACCCTTTCAACTCCTCTGTTGTTTGCTGCACAAGGTGGGTCTGAAGAACAAGCATGGCTCAAATTGGCTATAGTTTATGGAGTGGGAAGATGAAAGCTTAATGAGGCCCAGGTCGTGGGGAAGATTTGCACCATAGACTTAAGAACATAACCATCATAGGTTAGACAATGGTGAGCTAGAGAATAAAATGGGTACCCCTCCTTGAACACTTTACCATAAAACATTGATTTGTATGTGTACGCTTAGACACCAGGCAAAATTATAACACTTGCAAAATCACCCTGGCCTCAGAATTTATTTCCTTCCTCCCTTGTCACTCAAGTGCCCCAGAATCTAAACAAAAGTAGCCCAAGACAAGCCAACTAGAATTTCATCCACTCACTCCTTCATCCTCTCATGTGTTAACGTTCACTATGTACCAGACACTAGATTAAGTATGAGGCCTGTGGAGGTTAAAGACAATCCTTCTCCTGAGGAGCTCACTATCTAGTGGACCACACAAGCAGAGTGATGAGTGGACATTTTACTCTACCTTGGAAAATGCGGGCAGGCTCCTCAGTGTCTCCACTGCCTTGTTTCTCCTTCCCAAGACGGCAATCTATCTTAGCAGCCACTTGGTACTCATGTGTTCACTTAATAGCAATTGAGCACCTACTCCATACAAGACATTTACTAGTCCTGGCAGATTAGTGAGCACCACTTTTCCTGGGCACTATATTTGCTTTCATAACAAGACCTTTCTGGGAATACAAACAAATGACTCTAGGGAGGCATCGAGGCCTTTGGTGATTTCATATACTACAATGTGGGCACCACCCCCTTTATCTCCTCATAAGGCAATTCTCTACATTCTTAGAAAAGCAACTTCTAATTTTTACTTAAATCTAATAAACCGTAGTTTTATTCTCATCTGAAGAGACCCAAATTCCAGAGCATTCTCACTCTAGAAAATTATTTCTCAATACAACATCACTTCAAATGGAAATGCTGAAAGTCAGTTCAAAAGAAAAAACACATTTGTGTGAAAACCACAGATGAGTTAAAAGAAGAGATCTTTCCATC